TGCCCACCCTGCTCTGGGTGCAGCCCCGCACACGGGTGGCTTTCTGGGCTGCGAGTGCACATTGCTGGGTCACGTCCAGCTCTGCATCCACCAGTGCCCCAAGTCCTTCTCCAAGGGCTGCTCTCAATCCCTTCATCCCCCAGCCCATATTAATATTTGGGGTTGCCCCAACCCAGGTGCAGAACTTAATTTTCATCCCATTCATTTGGCCCAAGACCTATTTGGGTATTTTGCCTGTAATCTTTCAAAAGGGACTATGATGCCGATTGAAGGGGATGTAGCAAATATGTAAATGAAGCTACGGTAATGAATTACCACACCACATCTGATCTGTTGTGAGTGCAGTGATATCCTGCCTAATAATTTGTGAGGTTCTCTAGAGAGTGTGCTTACTAAATTCACAAATAAGAAGTTGAAAGGGACTGCAAAGCATTAGAGGACAGGATTAGCATTCCGGCAGATCTTCTCATGCTAAGAAGATAATGAAAAAAAAAAATAAAATTAAGTAATAGGTAAATCTGCCTTGTCTATACGGACAAGAATAATTAGCTGTAGAATATAGAACAAGTAGTTTCTGGCTGTATGGCAGTTCTGCAGGGAAAATATGGGTTGCAGTGGATCATAGATAGGCACAAATGAGCAATGTCATGGTGATGGGAAACCAGTGCTAATTGTCCTACAAATACAAAGAAAAGCTGAGCTTGTAAAACACAGGACATACCCACTGCGCTGCGCACCCCGTAAAAATGCATCCATCCAGTTTTACACACCGCACTTCAAAATAAAAGGGCTGAAGGGAGCTCAGAAAATGACAGCAGGTCAAGAAAATGTGACCTGTAAGAAAAGACTGAAGCAAGTGGAATAATGATCAGGAAAGTGAAGACATGGAAAACACAGAATTCCTCCAATCCACACAAGGCAATGCATTGGAAAGGTATGGTCTGTTCTTGGTGGCCAGGACGAGAAGTCCGTGAGTCCAGCTGCAGCAAGAAGTCCTCTCTTCAAGTAGAGGATAACCTTTGTGGTGACGGGGCTGTACAGCAGCAGAAAGGATGGGGTGGGGAGGGTGTGGAAACACCATGGCTGAAGGTCTTCAACCCACATAGCGCTGAGGGATCTGGGGGAGTTGGGAACGGACAGGGTGAGGTTCATGGTTGGACTGGAGGAGCTTCAGGGGCTTTTCCAGCCGAGGTGATTCTGTGATTCTGTGAAAAATGGACAAACTCCTGAGAGCGACAGTTAGAAATAGCGGTGATGAAGCAGACAAGGTGCGCAGTGCCCTCGCCTTTCCCTTCACTCGGTTTCTGTACTCGGGTTAGATCACAGAGAGGGGCGCCAAGCTGATCCATGTCGGGGCGCAGAGCCTGGTTCAGGCGGAAGAGAGTGCCTGGGAAGAGTGCAAGAACCTGTGTTTTCACGCAGTAAAACTCCTCATCCTCCAGAACGTGACATTCGGTGACTTCCTCAAGAAGGTTTTGTATCTAATTTTTTAATTTGTACTGGCTTCATTAATTTCTAAACCGCTTTTTCATTACATTTGTCCTTTCGATACATTTTTGACTTCTTGAACAAGTCCCATGTTTCCGCTATGCTCAGTGTGAAAGAGGAATTTTTCGGTTACTTTTTTTGATAACTGCCTGACTTACCATTGCACCTCGCCTACGTCTTGGGTTATGAAAACTGGACAACCAAAGTTTGTCTCTCCCTTTGGCCTCTAAAATTTTTACAGCTTTGTGACACACCTCCAATAAGTGTTTCTTCCTTGAGCCGACAAGTGCCGGTATGCTTAATATTATGAAAGTGAGTCCTTGGCTCTGCCACCTTTCTTTTAACTTTTTCTTGCCCTACTGTAGGCCACGAGGACTGGGGAGACGGGCAGGGCACACACCACAGTGTGACACCCTACAGACTGACAAAGGGAGACAACGCTTTCTTTCGTCTTAATCACTTTCTTAAAATGTCTTAATGTACACTTTTCCTTTTTTTTTTTTTTTTTTTTTTT